ATGAAAACTACCTGCTGGGCTTCTTTTCCCACCTAAAAGAGCAGCTTGAAGTGGAGGCCCATAGCTCACATGTTGACTGACACTTTTAGCACCATGTGGGCATGTGGACAGATAGGTTGTGTTAGCAAAACCGGAATCCCAGAGCTGTCTTTACCACAGAAAGCCAGCTGTAGAGAAAAGGATGTAGAAAATCTCCCATTGTAATATTTCATGGAGGAGCTAGAAGTCTGACTGTTCTCCAATCCCACCGATCTTCCTGGCCTGACCTGAATCATACAGCAACTGGATTCACTTTGGAGCATGCCCTGCCCTCACTTACATTGGCATCAGAGGAACTGGACTAGAAAGGAAAAGTACAGGGGTAGGTCCCATAGAAAAGTCAGGTCTCCAAAAGAGCAGTTCTGCAAGAAGACCTGTGCTCCATGGCATAGGTTTTTTGCACTGTGGAAATAAACTGGTAGGAAATGTGAAAACAAGGCTAATAATTGAATAGTCTTGTAGTCAGTGTACTTCCCAGGAAAGCAAAAAATCCAAATACATACCAGCCCTTCAAGCAGGAGGTTGTAACCTATGTCTCACACTTTGCAAGAGTGACTCGACCACCCACCAGTAGACTGGGGGGTAAAATGTATGTTAAGAGAGACAGAAATGCAGGGGACCAGGTGCTGACAATTGCAGGGTGCTTCATCCTGTACTTTTGGAGGACAGGCCTGCATGGCCAGACCTTATCCAATGGCTCTCCAATGCGAAGTATGAGCAGCCCTCATTCATTTTGGGCTGTGCTCCTTTACACAAACCTGCCTCCCTCTCCCCACTGACAGCCAAAGTCAGTTCTGCTGTATGTCACAAGGCACTGCAAAGGACAGTGCCACTTTTCAGCAATTAGCATTTGTGGTCACAAACTCTACTACTTGTCTCTCCTGGTGCTCACTTTCCTGCTGTGAATGTAAAACACTGTCTCAGTGACACACACCTGCATGGAAATGCACACACATGAAGTCCCAATTAAGGGATTGCTGCTGCAAGAGACTCTCAGGAAAGAATAAAAAACAGCAGTCATATTAATAATCAATTAGATGGAACTGCCAATTTGTAGCAATAATTTGCCTTAGCTTCCACCAGCCTATGCCTGGGCAAGACTAACTGAATAAAGTTTGTGTCACAGTCATCTTGATTCTGCAAAACACCCTCTTCTGCCTCTTGACTAAGTCATCCTTTCCCCCTTGCTCTAGTTCCTAATTAAAGCCATGAATGTGGATAAATATGACGTACAGTTTTAAACCCAACTGGGTCACGAAACGGTACACTACGCCCTGTTCTGCAATTAAATTACTGTGTGAAACTCCTCAATTAAAATTAAAGAAGCAATTACCCCCGTTAAAGGCACTACATATCACACATTTCAATGCAAAAGTTCATCTGGCAGCTTATGGCATATTAACCAATCTTACATCTCATTTGTGTTTTGATCTATAACCTACACAAATGAGCTAATTTGATGTGACTCAGTGTCTCCAAATATATTTTATCATGTGCAATATGATGCTGGTGTCTTTCAAAGAACAAGTTAAATGAGCTAAGGGGTTAATTGCTAACAACTCAGCCATTACTGTTGGAGCGTCACAGAATGGAATTCTTCCTGCCTTCTCAGGTTAGCTTTAGAAAATTGCAGAGTGGGACTGAAATGGATGTTTATCTTCATGCTGGGGAGCTGCAACTCTCTGATTTCCACTGAGCCTGAGGCTGGCGGGTCAGACTGCTGATCTCACCACCTCACCCTATTTCTCCCCACTGGGGGAAAGCAGAAGGCAAAGAAGCATACAGCTAGGGCAGAGTGCTGTTTGTTTTTATGTCCACTCATTTTTTTATCTTTTTGTCACAGCAGGAACACGTGAGCTTGCCCCTTCCCCCCTCAGCTACATGCAAACATCTCAGTGTAACAGCGCCTGTGCTGGTCCTTCTGCTGCTTGCCTAGGCCATGCATTGGAGTAGCCCAAATATTTACTGGGTGGTTCAGGACCTGTTGGCTTGTCCAGCTTGATATTGGCTATAAACCTGGGAATGGGGAGGGATGCCATGGTGCAGCTGACACCCACACTGGTCGGGGCTGGTGGGCAGGGGTGTATGATGGCAGAGAAGCTGATACGGTTTTTCCAGAGACCATGGAAACCCTTGGTTCCTTACATTGTCCCAAGGGAACAAGGAGATGTACTTTGATTTGACCTCAGGCCCTGAGGCTGGTGTATATTTATACAACTGTTTGTGTTTGGATTTTGACTTTTTTTCATAGTGCCCATGACCTGAGCCTGCTTTAATGCTTGTCATATACTAGTGGATCTGAGGGACTGGTAAGTGTTGCTTTCAAAGCTTTGTCTGCCCATCTCTGTCTTTGTCCTTCTTGCCCTCTGGAGAAGCTGTATGTTGCTGTGTGGTTCAGCTTTTCAGTACTCCTAAGATCTGCTCTAGCATTGATCCATAAGAGCTTGACACAGTTAATTGCAATTAAATATGCTGGGAATGATAAGCCTGAATTCCCCAGATACTGAAAAGAGGACAGAATTTATCCCTGAGCACGCTTGTTCTCATCACTTTTAAATACCAGGAAAAAAAGAAAAACAAACTAAACACCCAACAGAGAATGAAGGGGGAGAATGGAATCAAAGAGAAAAAGCAAGTGAAAGACATTGGGACTCTGCACTCCAGCACTGTGCCACATTACACTGAAGGTGCATTTTGTACAGTCTCACAGTGTTAGCTTCTCTTCATCTGTTTTGGTGTTAAATACAGTGGATCCTACGGAAACCAGTAAGTAAGAAAAATATCCTACACAAAACACAATTTCCAGAGTGTGAAGAAGCACATGCTCACCAAAGCATTTGGAAATGCTGCTCACAGCTGCAGCATATGCATTACCCTACTCTACTTGGAATCAAAGTAGTGTTTCAACAAGATGGAAAACAGCCTCATACTGCTGCCTGCCTTCTCCCAAGCACTTCTTATAGTTACCTTCTTATAGTACCGTCGTATCAGAAACTTCTCCAAACAAATAAATGAAGTCTTAAACAAAGAACTCATTCATCTTTAAATTAAAATAATCATGTAATCCTTCAACCCACCAAGTTATCTTTCATCTCTTCTTTTTTTTTCTTTTTCTTAAATTTATCATACTAGCTTCAGCAAGTGGCTGTAATAAAATGTCACATTAAGGTATTCATATTCATTAGTGTGCAGGTCTTTGTTCTTTTAATAGTGTTGGAAAGAATCTACAAAGAGGCTGTATTAGGCGGCTGTCCAATCTGGGTGTTTGATCTCTTTCTGACTTCAAAAGTCAGAAGAGGAAAAAAACCCACATTGAGAATGGTTCTTTTGAATGTCAGATAGGGAGTATAAGATTTCTGAGCCTGTCAAGTGTTAATTGGTGTCTGCCCTGACCATGGTACAAATCAGATTCAGAGTCACTCAATGCACCATCATGAAGAGCAATTGACATAGTGAGCAGGATACTGGAAGGCAGGAAAAAGCACAACTGTTATGGCAGCAGCTCACAGAGGATTTTTTCAGAGATCACTTTCCACAAATCATGTTAAATTATGCAGTTTGGGTCTCAGCCACACGACTGGGTATAACAGACCTTTCTGAGGGAACAATTGGCCCAGCTGCTGAAATTCCAGAGCTGCTTGTAACACCGCATAAAAACAAACCAACCCGCCAGCATTAATCTCTGTTTCTAGCAAAGGTAATGAAGTTCCTCAGTACTACCCTGCACTGCCTGAACGACACATCCCAGTGCAAAAACTCCTGTCATGGTACAACAAGAAGTTGATTTGATGCAAAGAAACATCAAAAAGGAAAATAAAAACCTGCTGCTAATTTCCTGACGAAATCCAACTAATTAATATTACCGTTGTCAGCAAGTTGACTCGGCAGACCTAAACACTTTTTACAGTTTGAGACATCTTAATGGGGAGAGAAAACAGCCTACAGATCAAGAAAGTGAGAAAAATCTTCTGTGCTAATTTTTCTTTCTGATGTTTGTGGACACATTTCTGCAATTCTGATTAAATCTAAACTTGGGTTAGATGGGGAGATAACAGTTTAAGCTTCATCTCCTGAGAAATCAGCCATCAGTGCTGAGTGACAACCACTTTGCTACCTAGCCATGACAGTCTGACTTATCCTAATGCAAATTGGCAACAGTTTCTTCTGTGCGTGGTAGAGGAAAACCGGAGAGAATTCAGATAGGGGAATTACCGTCATTAGCAATCAATTTTTCTCATAACAGCCACAGTGGATTTAGGATCTCAGAGGCCTCCCTGTGACTCAGGGACCCCCCTTCCATGAGCTGTGAGTCTGCAGCTGGAGGCACTGCTGCACTTAGGGAAGCTGCTGCTCACTGCTGCTGTCAGGCACAGATTCTGGCTCCTGCAGGGGGAGAACAGGCTGCCCATTCTGGGTTTGCTTAAAAGCCAGTAGGAAAAACAGCTAACACCCTGAAGATGGCTTATTAGGGAAATACATCCTCTACTTTCCCAAACCTTGTGCTGCTTTACCTGGGATCCTGTATTGTACCACATCCTCTCATGCCAAGTTGGCAGGGTGTGCATACATATGTGAGTGGAATGGCAAACTAAAAATTAAAACATGTTTGAAAGGTGCTCCTCAGAATAAGCAATTTTTTTTTTCTTTAAAAGCAAAATGAAAGCTAACAGGCTGGTATGAATATGTTCCCCCAGCTATGTGTCCTCTGGATGCCAGCTATAGTTGTGATTTTTCAAAGGGAAGAAAATACTGAAACCAAACCACTTGCAGCTCTGCCCAGCAAGGCACCACAACCCAAAGCCGTTAATCAGGTCCCAATCAATCTTGCCTATGAGCAGCAGTCAGTCAGCTTTCCATTAGCACCCATTCATCACGCCCTGCTGTAAGTCACTGCACCATTAGCCACCCATCAGGTCTTACTTAGGGATGTCCCAGTGCCAGACACTGCTGCTGTTGCTCACCTCAGCTACTGGGATGCCTTCAGGGGGACGGCATTGGAGCAGGACCTCTTGCTCCAGGGACACTTCTTTCCCTAAGGGTTCCTGCTCGAAAGTTTTCCGGAGATCTGAGAAGGGAGAAGAAAATAAAATCATTAACATTATTATCAGCCAGTCATTTGTATTATATTTGATTGCCATGCTGGATAAATGCAAGAGACAAAGAAAACAGCAATTCTGCTGCAACCAAGGCTTCCTGTGGAAGGTCATGTCCAGACACAGAACAAAAAGGGAAAGAAGTCCCTTCTTCAGATAATTTTCGTTTGGTAAACTATACCAGTACTAAACAAAGTTATGGAAAACTAAATAAATCTGTAAAACTACAGCATATAAACTGAGTTGCCTTAAACTTATAAATGAAAGTGCTCATGCTGTGATTTAATGTACTTTTAGCTCATAAGCATTAACTTTACAGCTTTAGCTAATTTGTCTACATCATTATCCCTATAGCACTAAGTTATTTTTATTTTTAATAATAATGTAATAATAATAATAATGATAATAATAAAAAATCACTTCAAGGAGATGAACCATGTTTGGATCCCTCTACAGCACCACAGAAATGTGTCAGACTGACAGGGCATTAAATGCACCTCCAAAGATCAGACCAGTTCATTGTACTAGACAGCTGCAAAGTCTGGCTTTTTTGTATTCATTCATAATGTCTTTGCACTGATGGTAAAATGGACTTGAGAAGTTCCCTCCTTATCACTATCCCCGTGTTTCTGCCATGGATTGCAACCCTCTCCTCTGTGCCAGGGAGGACGTGGCTTTGGAGAACTGAGCATTCAGCCCCAGTAGCGACTGAGGATATTTCTCCCTGCTGCCAGTTCCTTCTGCAAATGGATGTGAAGCCATAATCAAAGTGACATCAAAGAGCTGGCCTGACTTCAAAAACTTTAAAACTCAGTTATTTTTGTTTTACTTCTTGTTCTGAAGTCAAACCATTTCCATACATCAGCTCAGGGTGAGGTTGCACAAATACTTGTGTCATACTGGCAACAAGACACAGTCATATGGGAACAATTGAAAAGACAAATATTTCATATTTTGAAGCCATAACCTATGACTGGGCTGGAAAACAGATCACTGAATTGAACCAGTTTACAAATAAACCATGCAAAGAGATATTTTTTCCTAGATTACCTCCAAGACCTGATTAACAGCCGACCCATGAGGAACTGCATCAATGCTACCAAAAGGCAAAACCTGGGGCTGGAAAATGCAAAGATGGAAAAGGAGATGGAAAAGGAGATGGGGTGGCTGCCACCAAAATCAGCTCCTCTGATACCCTGAAACTTTGAATAGCATGAGACCTCTATCTGCTACCCTATACTGGGAAGACTGTTCAATTACCTGGAATTCAGTATCAGTTCAATGGTACCATGAAAAAGCTCTGTCATAGCTGGAGATGCTAATTTTAACTTGATATAGTGGCAAACTTCTGACATCCAAGCATTTTCCCAGTGAAACTGAGTCTGTCCTCTGCACCACAGGCATGAGAGAAACAGCCCCACACTCCACTGCTATTCCACAAGCAGCATTCTTGCTCCCTCTGGCACACAGGGCAGGGATCCTGAGAGCCCCTCTGATGGGACAAGATTTATGGCCAAAGTTTAGGGCACCAAAAGATAAGCTTTGGTACATCCTACTGTAGCAATGTAAGAAATTGCTATCTCCAGCTCTGCTTGGTTGGGATTACCTTCTGTCAAAAGGAAGCACATGCCAATGTCACAGCTGCCTCGCTACAAGCCCCAATGTCACAGCTGCCTCGCTACAAACCCCAATGTCACAGCTGCCTTGCTACAAACCCCACCATCCCAACCCCAGCTGTTGCTGAAGGGGGTTTTACCCTACAACACTTCATAACTTAGGGCAAAGAGGAGGAGGAAATATCTGGACATGAACGTTTCTTAGAATGACATGCCAAGTTTTGCCAGGCTGTGCCTGTCAGCATCCCTGTCACACTGGAGTTATTCTAAGCCAGTGAGGCTCATTCATGGGACAGCAAGCACAGCAAGTCTCTGATGTCCCTACAGAGTTCCCAATGCACTGCCAGCACCAGCAGCTTCATCCTACCCTGACAGGCCACCCAGTGGACGTTTGTGTTCTATGGCTCCATTTGAGAAAATCTTAAACCCTCCAGGTGCCCATGGGTGGGAGTCATTCCAAGGACAAAATACTGAGTTTTTGTCTTGCTGCAGTTCTGCACATTAAACATGGAAATGAGCAGCCCTTTCAGGAGCTGGTAGGTTTCTTGGGAAGTTACACTCTTCTTTGGGCCCAGGCTCCTCACCCATCCTGTGGGCTTGATAGGTATACTGGGCACACATAATGTCAGGATAATGCAGTTTGCTTCAAAATAGCAAACAGCTGGGGCTATATTGCTAGCAGTACCCATAAGATCATATTATTGCTACTTCCATAGATATCTTCAGACTAAAAGGTTTACCTCTATACCTTAGTGAATTTAGCAGGTACACACATGTGCACAATACAATTATTGTGTCCTAATATTAAGGTTGAGGGAAAATGAGAGCGTTACTGTAATAGCAATAGAAGCATATAAGCACAGTATTAAATAGCATATTAATAATAGCTTTCAGATGCTCAGGCTGAAGATAATAGAGGGAGATTAGATAATAATCTGAATATTTTTCTTGACATGTTGACTTACTGTCCTACCTACCTTCCTGAAATATTTAACAGAGCTCTAGTTCTACATTGCCTAACGTGCGTAATAATCCCCTCTCCCATAAAGCACTTGCCTGTAGAAAAATCCCCAAGTTTTAGTTGCATGCAAAAGTAAATAGCATTAATTTAGAAACATGTAATAACAGTAAAAAAGTCTCTCTTTAATATCTTTGTCACCAACAGCTGGAATTGCTGGGTATGAACAGTCACTTTTCCCTGGGAGCAGTTGCAGTGCTGCTGCAGGTGAGATGAACTCTGGGACCCCTGCTCTCCTGGCTGCCTCACCCACAGGGCCTTGTTGTGGGAGAATGCTCTAATGGCACTGTTAGGTTCAAGCATTTCAGTGATCCACAAACTAAAAATACACTAAGTAGGCCCTTTGACATAATAGGCAGTAATGTTCTCAAAGGAGCCATTAGATACTATTGAGTAAATTATACTAATTTGGCAGGGGTGAAGGTACATAATTGCGTATTTACAAGACTGGGAGCTCTTATATCCTGTTGGCTCCCTCCCACGTGTTCACAGCTTTATCCCACCACCTCCCACAGCAGCTATGTCACCTACAAATGGCTCCAGATGGCAACAGTGCAAGACACTTATGGTTAGTTGATCTAACCAAGCATAAGGTTGGCTGGTTGTGACATACACAAGATGGGTTTTTAACTTATGATGAAGCAAAGGGCCTGGACAAACATCTTCCTCATCTGTAACTGTCATGAAACCCTGCTTGGACAGCACTGGGTTTTGAAATGTCTGCTTTTTTTCTATGGCTCTTGCTCTGATTTCTGTGGATAACAATGACGCCCTTCTAATTTTCCAATCTTCAGCTTCCTTTGCCATTTAACAATTATAGTCACTGTCAGCTAGGAGTGGGTGAGCTTGCTAATGTAATGAGGGACTTTGGACCTTTCCCAAGCAGAGTATTTTCAATAACACTTTTCAATTTCTCAAAGTGTCATGTAAGTTACAATTACTTGTGAGTGAGGACAGAAGGGATTCATTTTCCCAGAGAATGGTAAGAGACTAATAAAATACATCCCAAAGAAGCTTTAACAATCTTCAAAAAATATACTTGGAAAAGCAAATCAATAAAACATTTGATCCATTCTGAATCAGGACCTCTCTGTCTGTGAAGAGGCAGTGTGCATTATTAAAGTACCAGTGGGCAGCAGCCCTGTTACTGAGATGCTGAGAGAGCACCTTCCCTACCCTTACCTTCCATAGGGGGGACAAGAGAGAAAGGCAGCTGTACTTTCTTTCCATTATTAGTTTGGTAATGTAGAATAACCCTATACTGCTGGTTTTAGCAATACCCTTCCTCCTCTCTCCAGGTAATATTGCCCATAGTGGAATGAGCTGGGATGGACAGTGGCACTGAAGGGCCCATTGTGTTTTTCACCAGCTCTCTCACTAGAGGGATGTCACTGCCAGCTCAGATAACAACCTCAACCCCCACCAGGTGCTTTACCCCACCTCTACCTTCCTTTCAAGGCTGTCTTCATAAAAGAAACCAAAGGCAGCAATTAAAATTCCGGTCTGCCACCTTGAGCCAGACTATTTTCCTTTCTAAAGCACAGTCCTAGTAAATTCAGAGGGGGCTCTTGTGGCATATATGGCAGCACGTTTACAGCATACTTATGCTGAAACTTCCCTCCAAGACTCTTGAAATACTCTGCACAACCCTCTCTGGTAAGGATATATGACTGCCTAAGAGCTGCATAGAAATAAGAGAATTTTCACAAGCAAAAACTGAAATAAAGTAATGGGAATTCACACTCTCAGTGTACACCCTGTTGCTAACTTTACTTCTGAATTGCTATGCTTTTTGGACAAATGGGCTTTAGGTCTAATTTTTGATGCACTGCTAAATTACTTCATTATATGTTTAACACATTTTTATCTTACAAAACACTCAGAAGTTTCATTTTTGCCTGAGAAAGGTAATGGATTATACAGGACGTCATTTCCCCCTTCCTTTTCTACCTGTCAACTTCTAAGAAAGAGCGAAGAACAGACCTATTATTTTTTTTAATCAAATATATTTTATCTCTTTGTTGTTCTGGGTTTTTGCTGTGATGTGTGGGTGGGTAAAACTATAAGGATATCTTTTATCATTGCTGAGAAATGTGATAAGAGGCAGACCAGGCACTTCAATGTGGTGCTAATGCAAGGGTGACTAATGAATGAGCATGAAAAACGGACACTTGTCAGCCAGGAATTAGATGCAAACCAGACAAACAGAACAAGGCAGCATTACTGTCAGGGAAAGATGGATTTCTGCCCTTGGTAGACCTTTTAGACTCTCTTCTCCTTCTAGTAACTCCAACATCAACTTTCCTCCTGTAACAAACAATCTAAATATGAGCAAGAT